GTCCTTCACTTCTATGAGGGACAAAATCACCCAAAAACAAGGGAATTTGACACTTGCTGCACCAGTGTCCACAAAAAACAAAAACGTGAAGAACCCCTGTTGTCTGAAAGAGGCTAAATTTCTTCTCGCAGGTTTTTTTGAACTTCTCCTATTCATCCCAAAAACACAAGGATTTCTGGGGTTCATCAGCAGCAGGTCAATAGCATGGGACTTTTTCTACTGAAGAAAAACTTTAAAATTTTCAGCTTCCAAATAATAGCGAAGATATCACAATGAGAAATGCAATTTTCAAAACATTTCTGCATTAGCCAAACGGAAGAATCTTGAAATTTTAAATTTTTTTGCAGCAAATCGTAATTGTAGCATAATTATAGAATAAATTTGAAAAAAGCCACACTTTCTGAAGCCGTCATCGGATATATTCATAGTCTATTTCAAATGAAATGTTATAGTCGAATTAAAAAGAAGTGCAGTGTATTACAGCGTTTCTGGTGGATTTTCAGGACTTACTTTCCAAAACCCCAGCATAAATAAATATTTAATATTTATTAGTTTAACCCCAACTGAATCAGCTACCGCAAAAATGTAATCGACTTATTACTTTCCAGCTTTTCGATTTTTTTAGATACTGTGGATAACTCATTTACGGATTCTTATGGAAAAGAGAAAATTACATCCTTCTTCATCATGTTTTTTTTTTTTAGAAACTGTAATACGACATTATACGCATGCAGGTACTATAAAAAGTACTTCCGAAAGCAAGACTGCAAATTGAGGAACGCAGTTATATAAAGGAAAAGAAGTCGCGATCGTCAAGCAAAAAAAAAGGCTATATACTGAATATGAAATATTTAAATTTGTTGATTTTAATATTTGTCATCTTAGACTTATTGAGCCCATTTTACCTGAATACAAGCCGATAATTAATCCTAGGTTATTGAGATTTGAGAATGAAATTCTCACAAGGTCAAGAGTCAGCTGGGGGGCTGATCTGAAAAAAAAAACAGGGGGTCATTACAACATAAATGAATCATAAAAATAATAAATCTCTCGTTGGTTTCCGACTTCAACAGGTCAGCGCAGCTGTCTCAACCGTATCCTGCAGTCTCGTACTCGTGAAACCAGTTTAAAGTACTTCACTCATTTTTCACAATTTGTTCTGCGCATTAAAGCTCGTAAATTTCAATGACAAAAACCTGCTGCCTTGGTAACAGAAAACTGCGCCTCCACATTACTGCGAAGTTTCTCCGTCAACACGCTCAGCAACAGACTGTTCCGGCGTCTCTTTCTTTTTTTATAACGCCCACATCATGGAAATGTATACACATGTTATTTTACTCTCTCGCCATTTTTCACAGAATACTTGAAATAATCTAGAAAAAATATTTTTATTTTCTGATGCGAATAAATGGAGTTTAAATTTTGAAAGGTCAAGCTGGAATTCAGCCCAGGCTGAGTAACCTAAAATGTTCTAGATTTTTTGGAAGGACTGAAATCTAATGTTTTCAAAATCCTTTAATTGATTTAATTTTTTCCTGAGTGAAACATGAAGTTCCTTTTGCTCTGAACGCTGCAAAAGTACTGATTGTCAGTTGCGGGAAATAGACTAGAAGTCAGGTATCCAATTACGTCCGTCATCACTCAAACTTCAAAGCATATCCAATACTATTTTTCCACAACAGAAGCGAGTACTCTTGGAAGTTCCGTCATGATGACCGATGAAAATAAAACGACCTACACTAGTCCTCCCAACCATTGTTCTCACGTAATTTCACACCAGAAAAACCATTTATTCAAATAAATAAAATATAAGACAGGAAAATATGGCCTTCATCAGGCTTTCGTCGTCGCCTAGAATTCTCATTCGTCGACCATCATTAGCCTTGTCGGCGGCGTTTTCCTCCAAAATCTTGGACCCGAAAAGCTTCGAAGCCCGGCTGAAAACGAAGCCCAAGGCGTTACCCCGGGCCGCGGACCCGGATTTGGACGAAAAATTTGAAATGTACAGCAGGNTGCTGGGATGCTTTAGAAGTTGAGATAGCTCTTTCAAAAGTCAAACTCAAAAGGACCTACAAATTTTCAAATAATATTCATTGACTTTGAGAAAATATAATAAACAAAGGAAGTTGAAATTTAATGACCTGGGTCTTAATCTTAACCCTTCTTAAAGCAGAGTTATTGGATTATTTTTTATATCTTATTAAAAAGGAAACGAATGTTAAAAAAAATTGGAAGTGAGCAGCAAAGCTGGGAAATTTTCAAAATTTGTTTCTCTGCCCGCAATAACATTTGGCTAAAGAATTAAAATTGAATATCCTCCCTGGTGATTTTTTATGAATTCCTGCCAGAATAGGCTTCTGAAAACCATATGCTTTCCTTTCCTGGATACTCAATGCTTTTGTTTTTCTCAGCCTGGTATGCATTTTGGTCATCTTTTGTCACACTAAAGAAAGATCATGAGCTTGGATTTTCATTATTTTTCTCTTCCCTGAGTTCCCAAAAGCATAGCCCAAAAGACTTGAGAAAATTTGAGGTTTGAAGGGTAAAGTCTGAGTTTGGTGGATTTATAATACATTTTCGATGTAAGAGATTCAGACATGGACTAAAAAAAAGTACACAAAACAAGGTGTTCATCCTATGGGGGTTCAAGTTATCAAAGTTTGATTGCAATTCCTTTGAAGTTGGGCTTCTGCCATACAGGGATTTGACCTGACAGATATGTTTGTGGGGAAGTTAGCTCAGCCAAATTATTGATGATATGCAGAACTGAACCTTATCAGAGTGGTTTGGGATTACAAGAAGTACATTTTGCCAAATCACACACAGCTCATCACTGGCTCATCACAACAGAGATTCACAAAGATAAACATGAAGCCCTCATGTTGGCTCCCTCAACTGTGCCTATACAGTATTTTCTGAACACAAAAAGAGCATATTTTGTATAGTTTGTGGATATGTGGAAAAAATAAGATTATCACTATAATCAGACACTATCTCTGAAGCTCTGAACTTGATCCAAGCTCAAGAAATCTCAGCCCGGAAGGCAGGTATTCAGATAGTACAAAACTTTGTAAGATGTATTTTCAGTACAGTATTCTCTTGACAGGTGTCCTAGAAATGGCTTTTCCCCCTGGAAAGTTTCGCGGGCAGGCATTTTAATGCAAAGGCAGGCACATGCTTGTCACTTACAACAGAAAAACTCTTCCTCGTGGTCACACGTGGGAACTGTTCCAGCTGTGTTTTCATGGACTTTACTCGGTACACGAAGTACTAGAAAGTACAGGAAAGCGAAATATTTGGGTTCATTCGTTTTTCGAGACAAGACTTGGACTTTTTATTTTCGTCCTCCAGAGCGCATATAATTAAAATACATATGAACTGTGCATATTTCATTGAACTGATAATTTCTATGATTTTATGAGTGTCCCTTTTTTTTTACAGAGATACTCCAAATAAATTATTAAATATGCCAAGATTGGTGAAAAAAAACATTTCTACAGTTTTTTTTTTCTCCATTTTTCGAGGGCTGCAGACGATTAAGTCGCAACTTATACTATTCGACTTGCGAGCAAAATAATGGACTGTAGTAATTCAGTATTGGTAGATGTCACTGCCACGTTATAGCAGGTAATTTACAGTTCCATTACAATTGGAGCAGAGTGAACAGCATTAAGGAATTTTTTTCCGCGAGTCAAGAACTGCATAATTATTTTGAGCAAAAATAAAAATTGAAGCCTGCGTTATTAAGGGGAAAAGACAGGTTCTGATAACATTTTTGTCTTATTTTGAGCGAATTACTTCTGTTTTTCATCTCAGATACCGAAAGTTACTGTACAAGAATATTTGTGGGCCCAAAATGCCAAGCTGGCGGAGAGAAGCATGGTGGTTTGTGCTCTCACGAACAGGAGCTACACCTATGAAATGATTCATGAAACGAGCATTTGTCTGGCTGCTGCCTTGCGAGTGAAGATGGGGCTCGAACGCGGAGCGAAAGTGGCCCTGGTAATGCCCAATGTTCCAGAAGTGCTTTTCTTGTTCCATGCTGTGCTCATTGCTGGCCTGATCATTTTGCCAGTGAACCCATTGAAGAACAGGTGATTAACATGTAAGAAAACTTACAATTTTAGTGCTAAGGTGTGTGTTTGGTACAAAAGTAAAAGCTATAATTAGCACAAGTCCTAGGCTGTTGTTGGGTCATTTCTTTTTTAATGAAGTTATCCAAGTCAAGATTCTTCTATAGGATTACTGTTAAGGAATTTAAAAAAAAAACAATCGGTTTTGCTCTCTGAAATATTTACTGACTTGGGCTAATCAGACAAGGCTGCCTCATCTTTTGTTAGCCCGTCATCCAAGGGTTAAAAATATTGTACAGTAAAATCTTGATGCAATAAACATTGTCACAAAACATTTTTCAGTATAAAAATGTTTTTCCGAATCCCAGCAGAAATCATATAGGGTACAGCTTATGAAAATTTTGTTGCAACAAACTCTCCAGTTCCAGTATAACAAGCTTTTCTGTGGAACATATGCTGTGATTTTCATAATGAAAAATCTCCAATGAAGGCATGAGGTATAGTCTCAAACTTCCTTTTCAAAATGTGACTGACTGGTTATTGGGTCATATGTGGAAGGTGAATGGGAGGACAAAACGTTTTCAAAATTCACCTGAACATCTCTGTTTCAAAAATTGTTCCCAGGTTAGAAAAGATGGGGGAAAGGGGGGTAGTTAAAATGGGCTTTGTATGCTTGAGAAACCCTAATGATACTTAGAAACTGTAAGCTTTTTTGGAACATTAAACCTCACAAATTTTTGCAGGGCCCACAAAAAGTGACTTAGAGTTTACCTGTCATTCAGAGAAAATTTTTTATTAACATGTAACATTTTTTTAAGATTACAGCTTTTCAAGCACTGAAAAACATCCAAAAATGCCACAAAAGGAATATGTTGAATATATGCAGGTTTAATTTTAAAAATGTTTCATCAGGCAATGATTTTTAATATCTTGTTATAAAAATCATTTGTTATGACAAATTTTTTCTGAAGTCCACACAAGTTTATTGTAGTGAGATTTTATTGTATTTCACAAGTAGATTTACTTTCTGGGTCCTGCTGAGTTTTATTGAAAAAAGAGGCTGACTTCATGATTTTCTTTGTTTCCTTTCCTCATGCAGCAAAGAGCTGGAGTCAGACTTCTCTGTCCTGAGACCAGAGGCAATAATTTGTCCCAATCCCGGGTTCAACAACATGGACGAAGTCGTCAGTAAACTCGCGAAAACCGGACGAGAACCCAAGATGATCCCCATGTCGCTCAACATTCACATGAAAAACACTACAATAACACCTGGTGCTGGACCCAAGACAACCGTGTTAGCAGGGCCTCATCGTCGAAATATTCCCGACAGCGCGATTATGACTGTTCGAGATCTCATTGAAGAGGGATACGACTTGGAGTTGCCGGCGGATTGCGGCAAAATCGAGCCGGAAGATGTCGCTGTTTTGCCGTATTCCAGCAAGGGTTACGACGTTGCTGGGCAAGACGTTAATGCTGCTGACGTTTGCGATTGTATCAAACTTGAACGTGGGTCATATTTTTCAAATATTTTCCTTGTACAGCATATTTTATTCAAGATATTTAGCAAAGTTGGAGCATGCATTTTAATGCTTTTTTGTCGTAGCCAAATCGATCTGCTCTGCAATCGTTTTTCGATTTATATAGCGAACTCTGCCTCGGAGAAGAAACCGCGTGGAAATGTTCATCCCAGTTAATTTGATTTTTTTTGGCAAATTGTGGCTTATTGAACTATATTTTTTGTAAAAAAAATGTGTTTTTCTGAATATGTTGGAAATTGTTCAAATGTTCCAAGAATTGTCTGCTCTGTTCCTTGTTGTCTAGACAGTTGATATATATTTTTAAATTCAGCCGTCTGCTAGATGATGATCTTACAGTATTTTGATCTTTGCATTTGAATTAGATGTGACTTCAAAATGATAGATTGAAACAAATGAACAAAAAAGTATTCCTTGCTTATTGTTCATACATGCATATTAATAAATTTTGACTGCCACAGATATGAATAGTGGATTGATTTGATTCGCTTCTTAAAACGCAAAAAAGGGAATTAAAGAAACCTCTAAAAACGATCAATCATGTCCGATCAGCGCAATCAAGATCATATGAAGAAGATTTCATGAAAATATCGAAAAGTGCCTATACAAAGAAAAGAATTATTCATTTTCTCAGCTTTATTATGAAAAGTGTAAGAGTGAACTCACACAATTTTGGCTTAAACAGCAATAAAATTTTTAAAAATATTCTCAAATTTCGCCACCCAATAGCTAGAAATTTTTCCAAACGAAATTTCCTTTTTTGGAACGGTTTAAGTCCGTTAACCGAGTCATAATCAACTTCGTCTACAAATTTAGATCCGAGAGTGGCGCGATTGACGCATGGAAACCTAGTCGCAGGTTTTGTGTCTTTGGCTGAAACTGGCTTCAAGATTTTCTCAAATGATGAAAAAGTGCCTTCGACAAAAAGAGAAATTGTCTTGAGTTTGGTCCCACATTCTCACTTGTACGGAATGCTGGTATCTCAAGTACTTTCCTCAAGGTTAGTACCTCTATCAGCAGTTTATATACAGCTGCAACCTCGAACCAGAAAATTTTTTTTCCATTTCATTTTTTCTTAAACGTTAGGATGAATACAGTATTGTATTCCGTTTTTTTTTTGGGTTTAGTGAACATTTTAGGTACCATTTCTTATTTGCAAAATTGAGATATTTCGTGGAATTAATTGAAGAACTTCACCTCCCTCTGTCCCCAGGAAAAAAATTGTCTAATGGAAGAAATATAGGAAATTTAAAAATAAATTAAAGCTAGAAATTTTGATCTCAAAATGTCCCTTCTTAAAGAAAAATTAAATTTTCTTTCTTCCTGTGAAGGCCTCTGAAGACACCAGTCTTGAGAGGATTAATGAAAAAATCCTGAATTACCCAGGAATCAACTAAATCTTCATATTTGAATAATTATTTTCTATAAAAAGCGAGTTTGCAGTGCGATGAAAGATTGGCAGACTAGACTGAATATCTCGATCAAGAAGGAATAAAGCTGCTATCAATATTAATATATATGCAGAAATCGTCTCATCAGTTTTTAAAGTATTTTTAGTTTGCTGAATTTTTCAATTTCAGATTTGGAGCACAGCTCGTGATGATGCCGTTATTTGCCCCGGATTTCTTTGTCAAAACAATCACTAAATTCCGGTTAGAGTCATTTGATCTTTTTTTAATCAAGATGTAACATTTAATCAATTTACGAGACTTTTTTTCACCCAGGCCGACAATATTGGTTTTGTTTCCGACTCTTCTGCAAGTTCTTGTCAAGAATCCTTTGATCAAGCCGAATCATTTGGCTTCTGTGAAGATGATTGCTACCAGCATTGAACGGATTCCAAAAGGGCTCATGAAAACGTTTCGCCGGAAATTCAAGAGATACAATATTATTTTCAAGCATAGTTATTATACTGTGGAATCCGGGATTGTGTGTTCTGCGCCCAACAGATTTGTTGATCATTTCAATGCTGCTTCCTTGGGCGGCCCCGTTGGTAAGGTTGCATTTCTGGAACTTTTTATTGATATTTATTTTAGACTCAACCCTGAGTGTTCCTGAAATACTTTTTGAATTTGTCCTCCAAACATTCTCTTGCATGTACAACAGAATATACGGGTGGTACCTTGAAATTCAGCCTTCACAATTTGGCCATCCTGCAATTTCATGAGAGAATTTGCAGGGAGGTTGACTTGCACTTAGTCCTCTGCGCCATAATTTGACATTCTTAAACCACTTTTCTGAAGTTTTGTGCTGCTCTTACTTGATTTAATGCAGTGTTTTGCAATTCAACCACTTGACTATTTGACCATATAGTCCAGCAATGGATTAGGGTTGAATTGCAGGGCACCACCTGTATTGATGTACCTTACTCATACCCCTCAAGTAAGATGCACATCTTCCAATTTTAGACTAAAACTTGTATGAAAACCTAGCCTTCTATTAAGATTCACACCTCATTTATATGTTACAGGATATTTTTAAAATACAGTTGACCCCTTCACAACATACCTCTTGCACAACCTTCCACCCTTGGAGGCAGTTTCCCTCCCACGCAATTGACTAAATTCACATAAAAAACTTCTATTGGTTTAAAATTGATGCTGAAAAGTCAAAATGTTAATTTTTTAATAATTGAATTTGCAGAACAGACTTTTCATGCTAGTCGGTTGCACAAATTAGGTCCATTGTGGGGGGTTGACCCCAGCAAATAATTTCTTACAGGAAGGGCTGGGTTTAACAGCTATATGCATTACAGAACGCGTTTGTTATGCATAACTGTTACACCCAGCTTCTTCTGTTACACCTTTTTTTGTGGTGTATACTGAAACATTCTTCTGCAATGCATTAGGAATGCATTTTTAATGCATTCTGTAGTTATGCCTATATACTTAGAAAAATTTTGATGTACTTTTCTTGAGTGTAGCCAGCAGGCATTTCAAAATGCCTGCCAGCTACACTCAAAAATTTCAATTCTTGCAGATTTTCCTGGGTGTAGCATGGGGCGTTTTATGCAGTACTGCATTAGAATATTTTGATATTCAAAGTTTGACAAATTTAACCCTATAACAATGATTTTGGATTGAATTTAGCTTCTGAAAGAATTTTTTTTATACATTCTTAAAATTTTGGATAAGTGACTGAAATGAGAGTTACCCCAAACGTTTGAAGGTCAAAACTGGAATATCTTTAAGACACCCAATTTTGGGAGAAATGTCCAAATTTTATGAGATTAAATTAACTGCGTAATCTTTTCAAAATAGGGTTCTCTCCAATTTTGGGGGCTTCTGCACTAATAAATTCCCTGCACAAAGATTTGTTTCTGGTCCCTTGAATTTTGTTCTATATAGAGCTATAGCACTTGTATCATCTTCCGAATTCAAGCTATACTGCAGCTGCATGAGCGTGTTGATTTTTATGTTTAGTTTCAGGTCAATTTTTTCTCTTTTAATCATTTAGTTTATATTGTACTTCTTGTTTGAAGCTAACATGGAGATCAGAGTATGGTCGACGAGACGCCAACAAGCAATTGCGTGGCCGAACAACGAGTTTTCTGGTCGGATTGAGTGCCGCGGGCCACAATTGATGAAACACTACTGGAACTGCGAAAGACCCACGGACTGCAAGTACTTTTCTGGGGACTTTTTCCGCAGTGACGACCTGGGGTACTTCAGCCCTGACGGAGAGCTGTTCCTCATGGAACGATTCACTGACAAATTCGTCCTACACGGCTCGTATTCTCTTTTTTCAATTTGTTTTGCTATCTTATTTATTCATATATTTTCACGTACATAGTACTGTACAGTACTCAATGTCTTATCGGTAGGTGGGGAATTGTGCATAAGGTTTTTTGAGCCACTCAGGTCATCAAGCATTTTTCACAATTCTCAGAAGTGCATTATTGAGAATGAAAAGTCGAATAAAAAAAGATAACCTCTGTCATTCCAGGATAGGATGCTCCTTTCTAAATTAGATTAAACTTTTCAAAATTTTTTGCATGCACAAAATGTAAACTCATTATAGGTGTCGTCTTTTACATCAAGAAGCTTGTTTTAAAACAGACCCTCAATGATTTAGAATGCATTAAACTCTGATCATACATTTTGATAGGTTTTTGAAATTTCTGATAATTCATACAACATTTAGTTAGGTTTGAAGAAATATTTTTTTCGAGTCCTGGATGAGTCAAAATACTCGTATATGCTGACATGGAACAATGTTAAACAAACAAATGCAGCATATTTCAAATTTAGTTGGTCTAAACTTCAAATTTTAATTTACATTTTCTGAAATAAATTGATTTTTTCGCAAAAAAAACCGGACGGCACATTTTATGCGATCAATGTTTCTTAAAATGTATGTCTCACGCATCAGGAATTAAAATGAGCATCTTACATGAAGTTACATGTTACTCAATTTAATACTTGATCTTTTGTTCAAGTTGTTTTCAGTTCAACGATGCAGATCAATTCTCAAAATCAAATTTTTAAACAATTGATCCATCAATTTTTCATCCTGTTTCTTCCTTTGTGTCTTGCTTGAGATGATGAGAGAAAGAGTAAAAATGTGTGGATACTGATTGTGCTTAATTTCTGTTGATATCGATAATATTTAGTGCAGGAGTTTAATTTCTTTAAGTTAGCACTGTTAAGGTATTCATCCTTGAAGTTGTGTTATATTAGTTTAACTGCAATAATCAGAAATATTCTTTCACTTTCCCGGTGAATTTTCAGTTTAGGACATGAAAATTGGGCGTGGGCTATGGTGCTTGAAAGCTGATTTAAAACCCCTCATTTCACCATTGCAGGAGTGATCATAAAACCAGAAAAACTAGAAGCGATTCTGAAAACCCACCCAAAAATTGTCGATGCTGCCATTTTGGAGGTGTTTTGGCCGGACGTGGGGTTCGTTCCGCGGGCATTTCTAACCCTAAAGAGCCAGAAGACCAAGGATTACGTGACCCTGAGTCAGGTTAATTCGTACCTCAGTGGGATAATCAATGTGGCTAATCCCCTCCAAGGAGGGGTTCAAATCCTGGAAAAGATCCCCAGGCGGGGAGACGGACGTCAAGACACAGCTGAGCTCAAGCGGATTTACTACAACCTCTCGGGGGCAACTGGCAAAAAGCAACAGTAATTTGAAGCACGTTTTGATATAGGATTCATGGCAAATTTTTCAATAATTATGGGAGGCGAAATAAAAGTATTTATTTGTTAGGTGAATTTTACTGTTGCATCCAGGTATTAGTTCAGAACCATCATGTTCAAATCTAATAGGTTTTTTTTTATTATCATTATCCGAAGTCTTTTGCTTGCTCTTATTTTCAATCAATAAGATTAGCTGCGACAGACTTTTTAAAAATTGAGTTGCAAAAAGTTTTCAAAGTCTTTTTGCTTTGAGCAGATAGACTTTAGACTTGATATATTGAATAGGCAATCCACACTTCTGTTTGAAAACTTGACAAAAGATTGAGTCTTGAAATTTTTTTGGAATTGAACATGACCCCCATCATAAGACACTCCAGAAAGTGTTAAGTGCAGCTATAATGGTGAAGTCTGCTGGGGAAAAAACCTCTAAAGTAGGTTCTCAACTGTATCAAAATGTATGAATTGCAGGTTTGGTACATTGCATCTACAAGGTGGTTTTGATACAAAGAAAAACTAATACTTGAAAACTGGTTTCCATCTATCTGCCTGCATACATGTGGACTGCATATACAGTGAGACCCCAAGGTGCAGACGTAATTGGTGCATCAAGAGTGTCCCTAAGTCAAAATGTCCCCAAGTCAAGTCTCATTTTCCCTCAGACTTACATTATATAATTTTTAATTGGTGTTTCATGTACAAAATACTCACCCTAATTCCATGAAAAGCATAATTGTCTCCCAATTTAAACTGATTCAATCAATGTATTCAACACAATATGAACATTTGGGGAATTGAATACTGATACCTCATCTGTACAGTACATAGAAAAGTGTTGGCATTTTCTGTAAAAATAAAATTCAAGTGAAAAAGAGAGAAGGAAGTCCCTCTATGCTGGAGTTAATTATTTTAAATTAGCTAAATAGATGGTAAATTGGGGAGAAAAATGCCCAAGAACTTTTCTTACATAAATTTCAGGGTTGGAAACATCTGTTTCTTGTAATTTTGCCTGAAATTTATTTGCAATTTTAATGGAAAATGTCCCTATGTCAAGTCAACATCCTCATGTTGGGACTTTTTTGTGATTTTTTTATGGTAAAATAAGTGTCCCTTGGTCAAATTGTCCGCAGGTCAAGGCGTCCGCATGTGGGGGTCTCACTGTATATCTTCCATTGTTTGTGAGAAAGCATTATAGGCCAAGCACCAAGTCTTATTGGAAGTGGGTTATGGTCTGGATTATTCTTCAGGAGCAAGTGTGATATGTAAGATTCAATGCATGGTGACCATGAATAGGGATAACAATTGCAATGGTAGAAGTATTTGTAAATGTCAAATCTACTTCATGATGTGCATGCAATGGAGATCTGTGAGACATCAACTGATGGTTCCTGGATTTTAGCTGGGAGGATAAGTTTTTTTGCTGCACAGAGGATAATTTTCTTCAGCATAATAAAGGTTTCAAATTTATGAAGGAGGTTGGCCACCTTTATCTGAAATTTTGTAAAGACAATTGCAGCTGAAATTATGGGATGAAAAATAAAAGTTTGCTTCACTCTCAGTAACCCTTTGCTGGCTGAATTAAATTTTTCTAAGTTTTCATTCTGAGAAACCTCTCTTCAAGCCCAAATTTCTGATTTTTGAATACATTCCACAGTATAGTTGCCTTATTTGTTCTTGACTCAAGTTTTGCAATCAAAGTTTTGTTAATAGGATTTCTTGGAAAGCATTTACAAAATGTCTGAACACCTTGTATGGAACTTTGCCAGTTGACAAAAGTTTTTCATAGAAGTTCCAAAAGTCCAAAAAATATTTTGTTTCTCTCTAAATTTGCTGGTTTGCCCGGGCCCAAAAGGATGGGGAACATACTGCATGGTATGAAGTAGATGAAATGAATGCTATGGTAAATACCTGTAATGAATGTTGCACATCTCTTCTGAATGCAAGTGATCCAGTTTCCTCTATCGCCCTGGAATATATACACTGAAGACTGTATGGGCAATTCCTCGGTGCACAGCACCAACCACTTATCCACATTCTGATCATGTCCCAGGCATATGGGTGCTAAAGTCCGTCGTTAACGCCGAGAATCGCCACCCTTCCCGGGTTTAAAGTGTCACCATAGCCAAGGGGCATCAATAAACTATCCACAAATCACGAATAGCACTCAAGAACTTCTGTATAGGCGTGTAACACTTTGTAAGACCACTTTCAAAAACTAAAGCAAATAACACGAAATTGTAGAGCTTTGATTTTTTTTTTTGCAAATGCCTCTGGAAAGAAAGAAAAAATCTCTTGCCATTTTAGCACAGTGTATGACTCACTGTGTCATCTTTGTTAGCTGAACCCAAGGTATTCCACTGAATATCAGGTGATACCTTGCAAATTGTCCATCCTGCAAATTGATGGTTGAATTTACTGCTGGGAGGATGACTTGCAATTTGACATCTGCCCTGCAATTCAACCAGCTTCATTTTTGTGAGGCTCTCTCTTAATTTTACAAGGTTACTCACAGTTCAACTGCTTTGCAATTTAACCTTAGTCTGGCAATGGATTAGGATCAAATTGCAGGGTACCACCTGTACCATATTTACACAAGTTACGTCCCCCTTAAGTATGACTCATGCCTCAGTTTTGGCATGACATTTTTTTCAAAAATTTGTTCATGCATAAGACATGCCACCAGTTTCACACAGTTGAAAATTGAATTTTTATTCAAAATTATAATGCTGAACCATTCATCTCATGATAAGAAGAGGCATCATTTTACCTGGATTTGAGCCAAATAAAATTCTCTCCATTATTTGCACCTACAAATAATCACTTATGGTTCCCACCATTAATTTTATAATTTTTTTCTCTATAGAAAATTTATACGTGCATACCACACGCACTCCACTTTTCAACATTGATTTTTCAGAAAATAAATATAAACACTTCTTCTATTCATCCTGCTGACTTGATTCCAGAACTGTTGGCTGAACCTCGGGCATATAACATCGAGGGTTGGAGCACATTAAACCTAGTCACGACCTACGAAACTTGCCAATATAATGAAGCAGCGAGTATATATGTATGGTCAAGTTTTTGGCACAAAAGAGGAGAGATAACCGGAGAGTTGACCTGTGATCCAAGAGCCTTTTCCATTTCCTGTCAAAAAGACTGGCGATTATATCGTCGCATATAGCTGGCACTTTACCGTCGCAATGAAGGAATAATATGCAGTCATAAATGAATTCCCAAAATAGCTAAATTCTATGAATACGAATAATAATTTCCTATTAGCTAAAGTCCATAAATGACTTTGCCCACAATTGACAGCTATAGGTGTTGATCCTGAGAGAAATCATTTAAAGCGGTGCTTCCTAACCTTTGGTCCCCAGAGGTTTTCTTTGGGTCCACAGAAATTTTATTCAGCATGCATTTTTTAAATAAAAAGTAGCGTTGAAGTATGTTATTTTTTATAAGAAATTTGTCTCAATACAATAGCAATTGAAATTATCTGATGAGAAATAAAACTTGACTTTTTTCTTAATAAAGCTGAAGACAAAATTTAACCTTCTGAAATAATTTAGTTCAATTTTTCATTTTGAGAAACCTTTCTTCAAGCCCATCACCTTTCTAATTTTTTGAAAACATTCCACTATATATATAGCTGCTTCATTGGTTCTTGTTTTACTCAATTTTTGCAAAAAGGCAGAAACTTTTCAAATGCCTGATATATATAGTCTTCTGAATGGAACTTTTTCAATAAGCCTTAAAACATTTGATGAAACTTTGCTGAATGGGGTCTGCAGAGATAATTTTGGAAATCTGTGTCCACAAATTTTATTTATACAAATTTGCTGGTTTGAAGGCCCAAAAAAGTTGGGAAACACTGATTTAAAGTGTCTGGATCATCAGATGGGCGTGTTTTCCTCATCTGAACTTCTCGAATTCATCAAAGAGCCTTTATTGGTGATAACGACGGTATTTATACATATTGTTGATGTGCGCGATATTTTGCGAAATGTATAAACTGAGCAAAGGACGAATTCTTTCTTCCAAAATCTTGAAACTCCACTCACGAGAAACGCATCTTCTATACTTGCATATTATACACTCCGCCCCTTACTAATATGAAGGCAATTACAGTATCACTTTGTTGCACATGCATCATCCCTCGACCGACGATGACGTCTTCCTGCATTAAACCAAAAGGTGCAACGTGATGAAAATTTGCGAGTTCGAAAATGATCGTACCTGTCTTTTGCTGGATACAACCGATTGTAGAAACCGGTCCGTAAAGTCGATCCTTTTCTGAACGACTTCACTATACTCTTTCGCGGACGCGGATTGGCATCACAGCACGTCATCAACTGGTAAAACCGGTCTGAGAACAAGTTGGTCCGCGATTCCGCGATCGTTCGCTTCGAACAAACTGCTAAATCTTGTGTCTCGTGTCATTTTTCTAGTGCCCACGCCTCAATCATCAACGAGACTTCGTCCCGTCAGTTATTCACACACTGTGTTTACTGAAGGCGTTGGCAGTGTCGTCTTTCGGCCGAATCGAGGGGCTAATAATTAGTTTCCGCGAACGCACTTATCATTATCGTCATATGACGCCCATGATGACCATCATCGCGGTAATATTGTGCGAGTTCAAGACATTATATTGTTTGAACTCTTCATTAATTCTGCGCAGTTCTGTCTTGCTCCATGTTCGCTCGATGTTCGCTGACTACCTGAAAGTTTCAATGGTGTTAGGGCGAGTTTCTGGAATCCTATGTCTCATCTTTATATATAGCTAAGCCTCGTGGAATCGTGAATGCTATATGAAATTAGTGCTGGATCATTGTTGTGCGTGTCTAATATTTCAAGGGCCCTCTTCATCAATTGAGAATGATGAGGCTTCGCAGCATCAGTTCTATATATTCTGTGTCGAAGGCGTTAGCAGTGTCGTAGGTAATAAGTGTTTCTAATATACCAAAGACCAAGTGGCGGTATACTGTACTTGGCACTTGCACACGAGAGATCCGTGACCCACCTGAAAATTCGTGCGCGTCATGCAAATGTGGCATCTACCGGTAAAATAAATCTCCATAGATAGAACACTCTTCTGGAGCAACACTGGCCATTGAGTCCCATATATACAGCACTGTATTCCTCTGCATTAGGAGGAAATCATATTCAGGACAAATTACAAGAAACTGATGTAAATCCATTCTTTGCCATTCTGCAGAAACTGACAAATGGATTTACAGTTTCTCGTAATTTGTCCTGATTATGAATGAACTTGTCCTAATTCAGACAAGTATATATCCCATGGCCACTGGCCAGTGTTGGCTACTGTTGCTGCTGCTGGAGACATTCATAGTTTCATGTTCGATTCCTAGGTGGCGAGAGTGTCGAAAGTAATGGCGGCGCACATGGATTTTTCAGTAGGTCACCTCTGCTGGTGTACAAGTGTCGATTGGGAGGAACTCCTCGTTCGTCTGCGCGGTTTCTCTTGTTACATGTGTTCGTTCAATGTTCGCAGACTATGCAGTACTGTACATGGGAATTATATTTTGTTGGGAAAGCTTCCTAGAACAGTATTTAAAAGGAAACAGGTGGTATCTCACAATTCAATCTCTTGCAATACAACCATCCTGCAATTTGACGGTCTTCGCTGGGATGAGTTTGACTCTCAATTTGACCTTTCTCATGCAATTTTACCTGCTGAGAGACATGAAATGTCAAATGCCATGTAGAGAACAGGCCATTTGACATATTGTCTAGCAATTTGACTGCTTTGCAGTTCGACTTGACCCTAGTCCAAAAATGGATTAGGGTCAAATTGCAAGGTACTGCCTGTATATGTAGTGAGGCTTGTGGGCATGAATGCTATCAAACTGCTGTTGCGTCTTCTTGTCTCTGTGTCTATTTTATACAGTATTTTGAGTGCACTATTCTTCAAGTGAGACTGAGGCTTTGCCACATCAGTTCACATGCTGTGTTTCAAGCAGTCAACAGCATGCGTAAAATAATAGTAATAATAACATAATAATATGACGACGCCCTAGTTCACGACCATATTAAGGTTAATCCAAGGCACTTGCGCCAAGCAATAGGAGTTATGTTTACTGTGGTACTTATTCAAGTAGATAATGTATGCGTTACCGCATCTATTGTTCCAACTGCTGATCCTTCCGCTCAGTTATTCTGTCTTAATACGTATGTTTGTTCGATGTTTGCTGACCACATGAGGGTTCTATCGTCGTTTAGGCAAGCTTGTGTGGAATAATATTGTGTATAAGTGAGGCTCGTTGGACCATGAGTGTGTCTTGTGTTGGAACGTTTTGTCATCGAACCGTATGCTGGAGGAGACTCATGCTGCGCTGAAAATCAGCGTTGGGAAATGATGATGGCGACGTCCATATAGGATGTGCGATGGCGTGTCTACGCCATTATTATAAGTGGCTCATGCATATTCTCCAGTGAGTTTTTTTCTAATTTTTCTTTTGCATTACTTTCACGCATATTCCTTATTTAAAGTGCGTTCCTCGTTCGCGCTTTCCATGATGAAGGAAGATTGGTTTTGGTTTTCAGTTGGTGCAGTGCACCATATTGGATTAACGGAACAAGTTCTCTCGCTGGGTATTAAGACATGGCTTATATAATGGTTGCTTTATACATGGAAGACATCTTGTGAAGATAATCGGCCGAACCTTCATATAGAAGTCAAATTTCGAGGGATCAGGAAGGAAAAATGATTTTATGGGAGGTTCCCGGTGTGTGAAAGAAAGCAAACAGTACTTCGTTGGGGGAAAAAGAGATTCACACAAGATTTTAATTGGTGATATTCTGGACCTTGAATTGCTTCATAAATGAGTTGGCAGGATGCTGAATTTGGAGTCAAGGGTCCATTTGACCAAATAACCTTTCCCTTCTTTACACAATGCATCAAGTTAAATTTTTTAATTGGTGATATTCTGGACCTTGAATTGCTTCATAAATGAGTTGGCAGGATGCTGAATTTGGAGTCAAGGGTCCATTTGACCAAATAACCTTTCCCTTCTTTACACAATGCATCAAGTTAAATTTCCATTTATTTCTCTTTCCTTATCACAATGATAGAATATCTAAACTCTTCCAGAAAATTCAAGTTGATGAAGTTTGAGAGGAAACACTTTGAGATGAAGGTTTCTATGCCTTGTTCCTGATGCGCACTCAGACATTGGTACTTGGAAAATTTTACATGAGGAGAAGCAGTATTTTACTTTGGGAGGTTTGATTTATTGAGGTTCAGCATATGTGAGAGTATTTGCTAATTGAATTCATTTTAGCATTTGAAAATGCTCTTTATGTGAACCTTATTCTGATGTGCAAACATTTTGGAAAACTTATATCTAGAAACTTCCTATGCATATGGCACCAAGTGCGCAGCCATATAAATTCAACTCAATATTTTGTTGAAAAATATCATATTCTGTACTTAATTGGAGTTGAAGGTCATATAGTTCATTCAGTGTTTAAAATGTTGACTTATTCATCTATCTGATTGGGGTTGTGTAGCAAGTGTTGGATTAGATTAGTCTTCCCATACCTGTGATCTGGCACCAGTCCACAGAAATTGTTTGCTGGTCTGCAGAAATTTTTTCAGTGCACAACATTTATCAAAGTAGCAATGAAGTACATTTTCTTGATTTGGAATTTTGAAAAGACAATGTCAGTTGAAATTATCTCATGAAAAATGAAAGTTGACTTTCCTCCCAATTTACACTTCAGCAGAACAAGTTTCACATGCTGAAACAAGTTATATTAGTTTTTCACTCAAAGAAATTATTTTTCAAGCCAACCTTTCAAATTAAAATATCCCACTATACAGCTGCTTCACTGGTAGTTTTTTTCAGAAGAGCAGACAATTTTAAATTACCCACTGTGCGTGTAGTCTTTCAGAAAAAACTTTCTGAGTCTGCAAACATTTCATGAAACTTTGCCAGTTTGCAAAAAGGTTTTTTGGAAATTTCCAGAACTGCAAAAAAGAAGTTTATGGAAATTTGCCAGTATGTTTGCCCTGAAAGGTTTTGGAACACTGAATTAGATCTGTCAGCTGTATATCAATAAATCAGGATATTCAGAAGTTTCTCATGATACTTGAGATGCTATGGAAGGTTATATTAATTTTGACCGATTTTCACAGAAATATGATTTTTTTTTACTATCGAAAATGGGGTAAGATGGACTCAGAAATGAACAAGAGTGCCAGCGGAATTACCTGCATATGATGCATATGAGATCACTATCCAAATCATCCCGACCCTAGTTGATCCGCATTAGAGATTTGGACGTGTAATTTACAGAATCTATTTTTGCTTCTTTCTTCGAACTCCCCTGGGAAATTGTGAAATTTTCTGGAGAATCCATGCTTTGTGC